ATCCCCCAGGGAAACAGGGATCAGAGGTGGGAGGATTACTTTTCACTGTTTACCATTTGTACGGGTTGAATTCTTTCTACCGGGTGGGTATATTATTTACATATTATAAAATACATGTATTTTAAAGTCTGTTTAGATATGTGTATAGATTTATTACAGCACTGCTTGTAATAGGAAAAAAAGGAAACAACCCAAGTGTCCCTCAAGAGGAGGAACTGGCTAGGGATTTCCCTGGTGGTCCAGTGGTTAAGACTCCACGCTCCCAATGCAGGCGGCCCAGGTTCGATCCCTGGTCAGGGAACTAGATCCCACACGCCGCAACAAAGATCCCAGGTGCTGCAACTAAGACTCGGTGCAGCCAAATAATTTTTTTTTTTTTAAAAGAGGGGGACGGGCTAGATAAACCCACGTACATCTTGTGATGGAATACAACTTAATTCACTTAAAAAACAGGTGATCTATATGTGCTAATAGGAATGATCCCCAAGATATTCTCAGACCAGGAAAACAATTCTTTTAAATAAAATGTTCCACTTTATTAAAAAATTGAAAACATATGCTTATTCTAGAAAATGTAGACATGGCACAGAAGTAGAAAAAAAATGATCCTATCCTAAGACAATCTGTTGGCATGTTGATATACTTCCTTTTAGGGTTTTGTTTTGTGTGTGTGTGTGTGCACGTGTGTGTATTTATAGAGCTAAAATCATACTCTATATTCTGCTCTTTAAAATTAACTCCAGAACAGAAGCACTTTCCCACGTTATGATAAACTGTATAAACATCCTCTGGTTGGCTGCCTGATATTCTACCCAGGGCGTGGCCCCCTGAACTATTCTGCCACCATCCCCCTGGGAACTCAGGCAAAACGCCCTGGCCTTGACAGTGACAAACTCAACAGTTCACAATACACACCTGGTACCTGCCAGGGTGGCGCCACCTTGGAGGAATGCCAGGTAGCCATTTTGGTTAAACAACTCAGTTGCCATGTCGACAGTAAATGAAAAAACACATTCAGTTTGTTGAGTGCCAGGGAGAGTGAAGTCTGGAAAACTGAGCTGCCGTCTCCCTCTGAAGTCACCACTGGCAACAAGAACCCCATAGAGCCTCCCTTCAATCACCTAGGACAGTGGGCAGCCAAGAGCTACATCTCATCCTTAAACAGCCCTTCCTCTGAGTACAGGGGATGAAGTGCGATGGGACACAGCCCCTAGCCTTGAGGTCAGAGGCTGACTCATAAACAGAATGGCATTCAAGAATGACAGATGCACAGAAAGGTCTGCTACGAGCCCCAAGGAATGCCAAGGCAATAGCCAGGGCAAGGCGTCTAGGGAGGCTGAACAATCATTTTAACAGACCCAACTGAAAGAGGTTTCAGGAAGTGGCATGAAAAGAGAAGCCTGCTGCAGGAGCAGGGTCCCTGCGGACCATGAGCTACCATCGTCAGTGAGGATTTTGAACTTTCTCTTGCAGAATCGATGAGTTTTAAAGACAGCCAATTATTTTATAAATTTATTTATTTGTTTATTTTTGGCTGCGTTGGGTCTTCGTCGCAGTGTGTGGGCTTCTCACTGCGGCACTTTCTCTTGTTGCAGAGCACTGGCTCTAGGCATGTGGGCTCAGTAGTTGTGGCTCATGGGCTCTAGAGCACAGGCTCAGTAGTTGTGGTGCACGGGCTCAGCTGCTCCACAGCATGTGGGATCCTCCAGGACCAAGGATTGAACCCACGTCCCCTGCACTGGCAGAAGGATTCCCAACCACTGCGCCACCAGGCAAGCCCGAGGACAGCCAATTACTAATGTTTGTTTAGGGGAGGGGCGGTTACCTGGCTGTGCTGCTTTATTTTTCTTCTTCTAAAAACATCCTTTTGCACACAGAACTAATACATACGTGTAGTTTTAAAAGCTCCAATGTTTAAAAATATATACCATGTAGATAATCAAAGTCCCCCTTAACGCCACCCTCTCCCCCAGAGAGAATCACCATTAACTGTTGGATGCAAATTCCTTCTTTTTCTCGTTAGTAAATTTTAAATTGTTTTATAACATCATATGAGTTTTTGCTATGCAAATACTAATATATGTATATCTATGTTTTTTGATACAAGTGGGATCATATTTCAACTGGCTTTTTTACTTCACAGCACATAAAAATAAAAATAGCTAATTTTTGTTTGTCCTTATTAAGGACCAACACTTTCCCAAGAGCTTTTCATGGATTTTGTTTCTCCCCACAAAAAATATATCTTGTATATATCTTGGCACTGTTTTGAAGTCAACTCACATAGAAACATTTTTGTTTTAATGTAAATACAGCATTCTGTTAGGATCATGGTCTATAATTAAACAGGCCCCTCTCAATGGAACTTTTGAGCTGTCTCCATTTTTTCTTTATTACAAACAATACTGCAAAGCACATCTTTGAATACGTAAATCTGAACACTCGTACAAATGTTTGGGTTTTTTTTTCGCAGTATGCGGGCCTCTCACTGTTGTGGCCTCTCCCGTTGCGCGGAGCACAGGCTCAGGACGCGCAGGCTCAGCGGCCATGGCTCACGGGTCCAGGCGCTCTGCGGCATGTGGGATCTTCCTGGACAGGGGCACAAACCTGTGTCCCCTGCATCGGCAGGCGGACTCTCAACCACTGCGCCACCAGGGAAGCCCATGTACAAATGTTTTGTTACTTGTTCTCAACTGAGGGCAGTACCTCCTCATGCGAGCTTTGCAAATATATGGTAGGGAACATTTTGGGTTGTCATAATGAATAGGGGAGAATGTGGCATTTAATGAGCAGGGGTCAGACATGCTGAATGTCCTACAATATAAGGGACAGTCCCACCAAATAAAGAATTGTCCCCACCTGAAACTAATGTAATAGTCTATGCTAATTATAACTCTGAGGTATAAGTATTTTTTACTTTAATAACTATTGTCAAATGGTCCACAGTGGTTTCTGTCTTATGTAAATACCGACTATCTGTCCCTATCTGTCCTTTAGCAAGATAGCTACCCAGTGAAGTGAGCTCAGCACTCATCCCTCTCCTGATTCCAAATAAAGCACCTGCTGTGTACACGGCACTGGGGATGAATGATGAGCAGGCCACAGGGTCCTGCCCTCATGAAGCTCACGTCCTAAGCCAGACTTATAGACAAACTTCCCTTTGCTGGATCACTCCATCTGTGTTTCCTTTAAAGGATTTATCATACTGAGTTTTGTGGTCAGAGACTGTGTCCATCCCTCCCTGTCTGAGACCTTCCAGCTCCTGGACCCACTCAGTGTTTGCCAAAAGGCCAAACCAGGCTCATGGCTCCTCTGAACAGGCAGCTGTGGGTGGAGCCCTTCTGAGGGGTCTGCCCCACTAGGAGGCCTCCAGGATCCTCCTTCTCTGGAAGCAGCCCCCGTTCCGTGTTCCCCGGTGCCCCACCATGCTGTGCCCTGGCCAGGGGTGACTGACTGGACCAGAGACAGAGGATGCCTGACTCGGGCTGGGCCAAGCAGATTAGATTTTTCTCCTCTTACAGTTGGGATGGAAGACGGTCAGATCTGTCTTTGCATGTGGCTCCCTCCGTCTGTAATGAGGGGACCCTGGGGCTGGGGGGATCCATTTTCCCACTGTGTAGACTGAGGTGCAGAGAAGAATAAAGAATAGGCAAAGAGAGTTGAGGAATGAGACAGAGAGAGGCAGTCCTGTGGCCTTCCAGCTTCCTGTATCTGTTCCCTGAGAGGCCAGACACTGTTTCTGCCTCTGGGTCTCAAGAAACACTTCTTGACTGCTAGAATAAATTTCTTTTTTTTTTTTCACTTGAGTTAGCATGAGTTGGTTTGTGTTTCACAAGCTCTGACTCTGGCCCCCTCTGGCACCTGGATCTCCTCACACGTGGTACACGAGGCTGCAGGGATCCATGTTTCCGCGAGCCTTCCTGACTTTCTGGAACAGACAGGGGTGCCGGGCTGTTCCCCTGTCTTCCCACGCTGCCCTCTGAGGGGCAGAATGTGTGTTTCAGAAGCCACCTTAGGACAGGAAAGCAGGGCAAGTGCAACCTGACCCTTCAGGGGCGCCCCCAACCTCAGAGGGGACCCACAGGCCTATTTTTGGAGCTGCCTGCCCAAGACAGCTAAGCTAGAACTCTGACTTGAAAGGAAATATATACAAATGTCTGAGAACTAGAATTATTGATTTTCTAAAAACAGATTAATTCTGCAGTTAGAGAAGAACGACTTCAATTTCAAATCCCAAAGTGGTAATAGGCATTTTCGTTACAGTACAAACTGATACTTACTGTTTATGAGGATTAACTTAAATAAAGATAACATTAAAAATTTTTTTTCACCACCAGTTATTACACAAAAGTCCAATAATGTTCGCCTTTCTCCCTCTTCTCTATACCAGCTTTGCCATGGTATGAACACAAATTCCTAACAAAATAAGTCCCCTCTTCCTCAATCCAGAAGAAGGATGCCCAACTCTAAGCAGTGGCTCTTTTGACCACAACCAACGTGCAAAACTACATTTTACATCCTTTCTCTAGACCCTCATACACACAAATGCAGGGATGGAATAAAAATACTTCACAACCGCTATGTCGGAGAACCTGGTCATCAACAACCAATTTGGTCACTGCATGTGAGTGTGTAAACGTGTGTGTACGTGTCCCTAAAATATCTTTATGACTGTCAGTGCTCTCTGATATTTCTTCCCCCTCCCACCTCCCTCTCCAATATTTTCTAGTCTATTCTGTTCTGGGTCTTAAAAAACTGGCCAAGGTTTCCACAACCCACTAGTGGGTCCAGAGCAGCTATCTGTAAAACACTGCTCTAAAGTAATGAAACATATTAAAACAACCAAATCTTCCCAGCTTAATGGGCATAGCCTCAGATCCAGAATTTACGCACTGGCGAGAGTTTGGAAACAACCTCAACCAGCGACCCCAACCTCCCATCCCTACGGCAGGTGAGCTGGGCGGGGGGGAGGGGAGGGGGGGAAGGGGGGGACCACTCACCTTGAAATGGAAGGAGATGGCCGGGGACCCGCTGGAGCCGTAGCGCTCACTTTTGGCTAGGTTGCTGTAGTAGTTATTAACCTTGGAGTTAACATTCTGGTGTGCCCCCGGGTCATCAGTGATGGGGCAGATGAAGTAACCCTCCTCACCATCGCTGTCTGCATCTGAATCACCAGCCCGGGAGGTCGGGCCGCCATCCACGCCTTCCAGGCGGAAGATGAGGTCTTCCTCTGCCATGTTCCCGGGATGCCCGTCTTACCCAAGGGCTGGGCGGCACAGCCAGAGTTACTGGGCAAATGCAGCAGTGAGGGTCCTGCAAGGAAGCAAGAGAATGGGTGCTGGGGTCCAGGGGCTGAGAGCTTGCAGGGCACCTCACCCTGAATGGCCCTGGCACAGAAGGAGCGGGTACCCTCAGAGTGAAAACTACTGCCACCTTTAGGGGAGACACTGGCAGGCAGTGTCTAGGAACATTTTAAATGTACAAACCCCTCCACCCGGTAATTCCACTTTGAAGAACTCAGCACTTGAAACAGAAAATAAATGCTTCTTAAGCCACAAGGCTGATCTTTTTAGAACATAAATTAGATCAAATCATTTCTCTGCTTGACACCCCCCAGCAGCTTCTCTTCACATTCTTAACAAAATCCAAATGCCTTTTAAGGCTACCAGGCCTGTGTTAGTCTGGCCCCTGTCCACCTCTCCTCTGGTCTTGGCAGCTCTCCAGGCCCATGGGCTTTCTTGTTCTGTGAACACTGGGGGCCCATTTTCCACCTCGGGGCCTTTGTACTTGTTGTGTTCCCTGTGCCTGGAATAACCTTCCCAATCTCCCAAGAGTGGGTCTTTCTCATCATTTGGATCCCAGCTCAAAAGTCACCTCTCCAGAGAAATCTTCTCTGATTCAATTCAAATAACCCCTCTCAAACACACACCCAGTCACTCCCTAGCACACCACCCTGTTTTATTTTCTTCAAAGAGATTTTCCCAAGCAAGCCAAAATCATCTCATTTAACTTCTTTATCATCTGTAACCCTGTTGCCTTAAGAATGCCTGGCATAGAGCAGGCACTCAACACACATCCCCGGAATGGATGAGTGGCCTGAAGAGCGTTCTCTGTAGCACAATCAGTAACAGTAAAAAGAGGGAAGAGCCTACAATGACCATCAATGGAGGCCTGTTATATAAACACATTTTTTTTTTTTTTGCAGTACGCGGGTCTCTCACTGTTGTGGCCTCTCCCACTGTGGAGCACAGGCTCCGGACGCGCAGGCTCAGCGGCCATGGCTCACGGGCCCAGCCGCTCCGCGGCATGTGGGATCTTCCCGGACCGGGGCATGAACCCGCGTCCCCTGCATCGGCAGGCGGACTCTCAACCCCGGCGCCACCGGGGAAGCCCAGAGGCCTGTTATATAAACTACAGTTTTTCTACACCATGAAATACTGTGTGACTGTTACAAAGAAAAAGGAAGCTCTAGATACACAAAGACGTGCAAAGATAGTCAAGAAAGAGTTCAGCAACATTGTAGGATACAAAAATCAATAGTATTTCCATATACTAGCAATGAAAAAATCCAAAAATGAAATTAAGAAAACAATTTTATCTATAATAGCATCAAAGAGAATAAAAAACTTGGCTAGGGAATTTCATGGAGGTCCAGTGGTTAGGACTCCACGGTTCCATGGCAGGGGACACGGGTTCAATCCCTGATCAGAGAACTAAGATCCCACAAATCATGCGGCCAAAAATAAATAAATAAAACATCTTGGCTAACAAAAGAAGTGCTTGACTTGTACAGTGAGAAACAAAACATGTCAGAAGTGAAAGAAGACCGAAATAAGTGTAAAGATATCCTGTGTTCATAGATCAGAAAATTTAACATAGCTAAGGTGGCAATACTCCCAAAACTGATCTACAAATTCAACCCAATCACTATCAGAATCCCAGTGGCTTCACTGAATAAATTAACAAACTGGTCCTAAAGTTCACATGGAAATTCAAGGGACCCAGAATAGCCGAAAGAATCTTGTAAAAGTTACAAGAATCACACTTCCTGAATTCAAAACTAACTACAAAGCTAAAATAATTAAGACAGTTGATAGTGGCATGAGGATAGACACAGAACTGAGAGTCCAAAAATGAACCCTCACATTTACAGCCAATCGACTTCTGAAAGGGGTACCAAGACAGTTCAATGCGGAAGGAATACTTTTCAATAAATGGTGCCAGGACAAGTGAATATACACATGCAAAAGGATGAAGTTGAACACCTTCCTACATTATATACAAAGATTAACTCAAAATGGGGACTTCCCTGGAGGTCTGGTGGTTAAGAATCTGTGCTTCCACTGCAGGGGTCATGGGTTTGATCCCTGGTTGGGGAACTAAGATCCCCAAGCTGTGCAGTGTGACCAAAAAAACTAACTCAAAATGGATCAAAGGTTTAAATATAAGAGTAAAACTCTAACACTCTCAGAAGAAAATGTAAGAGAAAATCTTTGTGACACTGAATTAGGCAAAGCCTTAGATAGGACACCAAAAACACAAGCAACAAAAGAATAGATACACTGGACATCATCAAAATTAAAAACTTTTGTGCTTCAAAGGACACCACCATGAGAGTGGAGAGACAACTCACAGAATGGGAGAAAATTTTTGCAAATCATGTCTGATAAGGGACTATGTAACGGACTCATACTACTTAACAATAAGAAGACAAATAACCCCAATAAAAAATGGGCAAAGAGGGACTTCCCTGGCAGTCCAATGGTTAAGACTCCACGCTTCCACTGCAGGGGCACGGGTTTGATCCCTGGTCAGGGATCTAACACCCCACATGCCACACAGCACAGCCAAAAAAAAAAAAAAAAAAAAAAGGCAAAGGATTTGGACAGACGTTTCTCTAAAGATGATACACATGGCCAGTAAACACATGAAAAGATACTCAACATCATTAGCCATTAGGGAAATACAAATCAAAGCCACACCCACTAGGATAGAATTTTAAAAGTGGAAAATGACAAGTGTTGGTGAGGATAGGGAGAAACTGGAAACCCTCATACACTATTTTTTTTTTTTTTTTTTTTTTGCGATACACGGGCCTCTCTCTCCCGTTGCGGAGCACAGGCTCCGGACACGCAGGCTCGGCGACCACGGCTCACGGGCCCAGGCGCTCCGCGGCATGTGGGATCTTCCCGGACCAGGGCACAAACCCGCGTCCCCTGCATCGGCAGGCGGACTCTCAACCACTGCGCCACAGGGAAGCCCCCTCATACACTATTAATGGAAATGTAAAATGGTGCAGTCACTTTGGAAAACAGCCTGGCAGTTTCTCAAAAAGTTAAACACAGAAGTACTATATGATCCAGCAACTATACTCTTAGGTATATACCCAAACATGTCCACAACAAAAACCTGTGACATGTGGCTCATAGCAGTATTACACACAATAGCCAAAAGGGGAAACATCCAAACATCCGTTAACTGATGAATGGATAAGCAAAGTGTGGTCTATATATACAACGGGACGCGCTTCAGCCACAAAATGGAATGAAGTACTGATGCTAAGTGAAAGAAGACAGTTCAAAAAAGACCATAGATTGAACGATTCCATTTATATGAAAAGTCCAGAGAAGGCAAATCTGTAAGAAAGTACGTGAGTGGTTGCCTAGGGATGGGGGAGGGGAGAGTCGGGGGGAAATGGGGATCACTAAAGGGTTTCTTCTGAAGAGATGAAAATGTTCTAAAACCGACTGTGTTGGTTGCATGACTCTGTTAATGCATTAAAAAACCACTGACTATATTAAATCCACTTGAAATAAGTGGATTGGTAGGTTTGTGAATATACTTCAATAATCTAATGTTTAAAAAAAGAAAAGACATGGGACTTCCCTGGTGGCACAGTGGTTAAGAATCCACCTGACAATGCAAGGGACACGGGTTCGATCACTGGTCTGGGAAGATCCCACCTGTGGCGGAGCAACTAAGCCCGCGTGCCACAACTACTGAGCCTGCGCTCTAGAGCCCGCAAGCCACAACTACTGAGCCCGCCTGCCACAGCTACTGAAGCCCGCACACCTAGAGCCTGTGCTCCGCAACAAGAACCACAATGAGAAGCCCGTGCACCACAATGAAGAGTAGCCCCGGCTCGCTGCAACTAGAGAAAGCCCAAGTGCAGCAACAGAGACCCAATGCAGCCAAAAATAAAATAAATAAATGTGTTTTTTAAAGATTAAAAATAATAAGAAAAAAAGAAAAAAAGAAAAGACAAGAAAAACTGTTACATTTAAAAAGCAAGTTGCGGGCTTCCCTGGTGGCACAGTGGTTGAGAGTCCACCTGCCAATGCAGGGGACACGGGTTCGTGCCCAGGTCCGGGAAGATCCCACATGCCGCAGAGCGGCTGGGCCCATGAGCCATGGTCGCTGGGCCTGCGCGTCCGGAGCCTGTGCTCCGCAACGGGAGAGGCCACAATAGTGAGAGGCCCGTGTACAGCAAAAAAATAATAATAATAATACAAAATAATAATTAAAATAAATAAATAAAAAGCAAGTTGCACAAGAGCAGTTACATTATGGTGATCCTATCTGTGCTAAAAGAAAAGGTACGTCCCTGAAGGGCCCACAAGAGCGCTACCAGCACTGCAATGGGCAGTGGAACTGGGAGCTGGGGGGTGGAGGGAAGTTTTTAACATTTTGTACACTTCTATACTGTTTTAAGTGTTTTTTTAATTTATTTATTCATTTATTTTTGGCTGCATTGGGTCTCCGTTGCTGCGCCCTGGCCCTCTCTGGTTGCAGCGAGCGGGGGCTACTCTTCGCTGCGGTGCGCGGGCCTCCCATGGCGGTGGCCTCTCTTGTTGCAGAGCACGGGCTCTAGGCATGCAGGCTTTAGTAGTTGTGGTGCACAGGCTTAGTTGCTCCGCAGCATGCGGGATCTTCCTGGACTGGGGCTCAAACCCATAACCCCTGCACTGGCAGGCAGACTCTCAACCACTGTGCCACCAGGGAAGCCCTGTTTTAAGTTTTTACAAAGCTGGTTGCTTTCAATATAAAAAAATTAAGAAGTGAAAAAACTTAAAACATTTTTAAATCAACTAATTCCAATTATTCTTAACAGCTGTTTCCATCGGGAGGCAGTTTTCTAGACCTGAGGCTTCAGCACTTTCTTGACAGTCATCAGAGCAAGAAATATATTTATATCCTAACCCAGTACCCAGCTACAAAATGTAAGTTAAATTTTCAGGAAACTGTACTTAGCCTTACTTTGTACAATACCCTCTGCTATTTTCGATTCTACTTGTTTTTCTTTCTTTTTTACTCTTTATCTTTAATGCACCACCCACACTGATTATTCACCTCAGTTTGAAAATCGCTGCTCTGGGTG